GTATTTTTATGATAAGATACTTGTACTTTTACTCAAGTATCACTTTGAGGTACTTTATACAACACTGGTTTTATATCTCACTTCATAGATACACTTTATTGGCATTATTTATATTTAGACCAACAGTTCTAAACATTAGGAGAGGTGTTACTGTGTGAACTGAGAACAGACAAGACAACAGACTTGATGTTTTGCCATACAGATGTAGGCACATTGCATGACTTTAATAAAGTGCAGATCATACAAAATAGGCAGAAACCTTTCAAAGTCAGAACCTGACCCARAACTAGTGCTGTGAAAATATCAGCTGCTTCAAACTGTGAGGTGAAAGTGTTTGTTGGCCGAGACGTAAGGCTACTGATTGTAGGCAAAAGCTGTGTGTCAAAATGAGAAGGCATCTTTATGAACCACTCATCAGTTATTTTTGACCCGAGGTCTCGCACGCTGCTTTGTCATCGAGATGAATCCATTAAAATATCTACATATAGGTCTGAGAACTAACTCTACAAATATAACTAGAAAAATAYCTAACTTTCTGGGATCTACGGAGAATCARGTGGTTAAATTCATCAGATGTTGGTCCATCTTCACAGAGCTGTTTCTCCTTCCCCTGCTCCCATGTCCACCCTCCTGTGGACCCTGKTGTCCTCTATGTCCTCCCACTCATCCTCGCTCCTCTCGCCTTCCTGCGATCTCACTGGCTGGCCCAAGCGAAGGAGGCGGTACCTGAGTGGCACCAAGAAGAGGGCGGGGTCAGGCATGGAGTGTGGCCTCTGTGGTGATGTCACTCTCTCCTGCGGGATACACGCTTTCACCCTCTCCTCCCTCAGGCTGAGGTGCCTCCTGTGTCTCTCCTCTGATTGGTCAGAGGAGGCAGCAGGAAGCGGAGACAAAAGCCAATCTGAGCCTCCATCCTCCTCATCCTCTTCCTCCTCCTTCCCTCCGACTTCCTGCTCTCCATCTGCCGCAGAACCTGCACTCTGTCGCCGCTGGAAAAGTTTTAACCGTGTGGCATGAAGTTCGTGGTGCAGAGTCGCCGTCACAACGTTCTGGTGCTGAAGTTCTCGATTCAACAGGGTGATCTTGTGACTGCGGCGCTTCAGCTCCTCCAGGAAACATCGTTCTTCCTCCCTGAGGCTCCTCCCGAGCGCAAAAGCTCGCGCCCGGCCGGCGCGCAGCTCCCCACGTGCGGCGACCATCATGCACTGCTGGCGCTCCAGGAGGCGCTCTGCAGCATCGCAACGTGCCGCCAGTTCTGCCTCCTCCTCTGAGCAACACAAAATGAAAACATTTGTAATGCACGCTGAAAGTTTGACACCATCTGCATGGATAAAACTGCTATGAGAAAAGACAAACCTGAAGTATTTKTTTTAAATGCAATAAAATCAAAAGTAATCATCTAGAGTCAATCTATTTCAAGATGGCCGCCACAGCTGATTSAATTAAATTTTACAGAATGTGGGCTGAAATTTGAGTAGCTGAGCATCATTTATAGCAGTGGTRCCCAACCTTTTTAGACCTGTGTACCCCCTGAGCCWTTTTATCTAACACTAGTACCCCTTCAGTCAAACGTAATGATGAWTCACAAAACTATGATGTARTAAAACTGATTATTAAATGAAAATTATTTATTTAACCCCCAAGGATGTTTAATTCTCTGACTGAAAAGGACTGAAAGTGCTGGAATGTTTCAGGACTTTAAACAGTGTGAAGGACTGAAGGAACTGTCTAAGGTCCTGAAAGTGCTTGAACATTTCAGGACTTTAGACAGTAGGAAGGACTGAAGGAATTATCCAAGGTCCTGAAAGGCTTGAATGTTTCAGGACTTCAGACAGTGTGAAAGGCTGAAGGAACTGTCCAAGGTCCTGAAAGTGCTGGAATGTTTCAGGACTTCAGACAGCATGAATGGCTGAAGGAACTGTCCAAGATCCTGAAAGTGCTGGAATGTTTCTGGACTTTAGACAGCATGAATGGCTGAAGGAACTGTCCAAGGTCCTGAAAGTGCTGGGACGTTTCAGGACTTTAGACATCATGAAGGACTGAAGGAAATGTCCAAGGTCCTGAAAGGGCTTGAACGTTTCAGGACTTCAGACAGTGTGAATGGCTGAAGGAACTTTCCAAGGTCCTGAAAGTGCTGGAATGTTTCAGGACTTCAGACAGCATGAATGGCTGAAGGAACTGTCCAAGGTCCTGAAAGTGCTGGGGCGTTTCAGGACTTTAGACATTATGAAGGACTGAAGGAACTGTCCAAAGTCCTGAAAGTGCTGGAACGTTTCAGGACTTCAGACAGTGTGGAAGGCTGAAAGAACTGTCCAAGGTCCTGAAAGTGCTGGAATGTTTAAGGACCTAGAACAGTACTACAACTGATTATTAAATAAAAATTACTTATTTAACCCCCTGAAACGTTTAATTCTCTGACTGAAAGGTACTGGAAGTGTTGGAATGTTTCAGGACCTTGAACAGTGTGAAGGACTGAAGGAACAGTCCAAGTTCCTGAAAGTGCTGAAATGTTTCAGGACTTTAGCACCTACTCTGAGTGTGACGTGAAATGGCAATTTTTTTAGAATATCTTTGTCTAAAACTCTGGTAGTCCTTTAACTATGACATACATTTTTATGTTTCCGTGTTACCTTTACCAGTMGGGAGCAGTAATTTCTCACCTGCAGTGTGTCTGTCGGGGAATCTGGAGTCCAGCTCACAGCTCAGCACTGCACACAGACGTAGAAACACAGAGGYTGAGGCAGGGACATGATGAAGATGAAGCAGGTTACGATACAGGGCAGGACTGACCATGACAGCGCCTCTTCAGGTGAGTGATCTCCAGCTGCAGACCCGTCAGCATGGCCAGGTGCTCCTGCTTCAGGAAGCTGATCCCCCTCTCCACACTGGCCACCTGCTGCTCCAGCCTCCCTGCGTCCATGGTTTAACCTTCACACAAGCAGCACAGATGTTGGCAGCTGGAGGTCAGGAAACAGAAGATCTCTAGAAGCTCTGACATTGAAAGAGTGCAAGTAATTTATTTTTGATTTTTTTATTGCAAACTGATACGTTTGCTTTTATTTGGTAAAAAAGCATGARTTGTTTCACTCATCAATCTACTCTCACACCATCACTGCGTTTTTTCCACCTCATTTAAAGCTTTTTTATTATTGTTCTTGCAGCATAGTTGTTAACATGGCTCTAATCTGCATCACTGACCGTGGCCTACCGTCACTCCAGCCCGAAGCGTCTCTCATGGATCTTCGTWTTGTCCTGGACCCGGTGTCTGTTTCCTCCTTGGCGCAGCGAGAATGGCGCAAATAAAAACAAACCGCAAAACGACCTGTCTTCCTCTCGCGTGCTGCGGGCTYTTTCACTGTCTGCCTTTCGCAAAACGGAGAATGGATCCTGCAGGAGGAGAAGACCGAGAGGAAATAACCTCCTCTTCACCTTCTGCTGCTGCGTACAGCAGTGCGGCGCTGCGCTCCCAACAAAGCAGCTCGTGTATGACGGGTGATTAGTGCCACCGAGGAGCAGCAGCAAAAGCTTAGATTGATAGCTGTGTGAAGCTGACACCCCACCCACGTCAAAAAATTAATCAAATAGTCAGAATCGTTAGTGCTCCGTTTGTGCAGGTTTGTGCA